CCCGCTTTTCCATTTAAAACGCATTGATATCAGAAAACTGTCAAAGTGTATATTATTTTTGACAAACGCAATTTAAATGGGAAAAATCAATAACAATTAGCATCAATAAAAAAATTCGACACAACGTAGTAAATAAACTTCAAACTCGGGAAATTTCCTATTAAAATATAACACGTGCATAAAATATTTCCTAAGGGAAATTTTAAAAAAATTCGTCTTTAGCCACAACTCGCAAAATTGAATTTTATCGGGAGAAACTCCACGGGACAAAGGATCGGCTGCGTTTTCTTCCGAAGAAACATGTCGCCAAATGAATGATTCGGTTAACCTTTGTATTTCAGCGGTACGATTGCTCACAAAAACAACCCATCTGGAAGAGTGTGCTGACAACCAGCATAACACAATTTCCGAATCCGTCCATAAATTTACGGATTCAAATTTAATGGCATTATTGAAAATGGCTATAACCTTCTCAACGAGACGTGCTAAAAGTAATGCACCACATAATTCGAGTCTAGGTACGCTAATAGTCTTTACAGGGCTAACTCTGGACTTGGAACAAATCAAACGACTAGAAACTGTATGATCTGCGTATGTTGCGCGTAAATACACGCAAGCAGAATATGCAAGTAGGATTGCGTCCGCAAAGCCATGAAGCTCGATGGTTAGAATCTTTTTCTTCAAAAGTAAGCATCGTGGAACTTGGACATTTTTCAGGCAAGGAATTCTTGTGAATAAATCCAACCATTCATCCAATAAGTCGGGCGGAAGCTTGTCGTTCCAGTCCAGCTTCCTGTTCCAAATTTTTTGCATAAAAATTTTCGCGATAACAATGACTGGATCAAGGTAACCACAGGGATCAAACATCTTCGCAATGTTGGACACCTCATGCTTTGTAAAGCATTTCTGGGTTTCCAACGCGGGTAAAGAAATACAAAATTGATCCTCGGATGAGTTCCACTTTAAACCGAGAACCTTGTTTGAAACCTGCTCCATTTTTATGTCAAGCGTTTGAGAAGACAATTGAGAACTAGAAGTTACAAAGACGTTTTGTGTGAATTCCTTTGAATTCGATGCGAACTTATGGAGATAAAATCCAGCTGAGTTTAAAAGAGCATTCAATTCAACATAAAGTTGATGCAGTTCATCTAAGGATTCCTGAGAAGCCAGGACATCGTCAACGTACGTTTGAAGTAACAACGCCTGTGAAGCTAGTGGATAGTCAGATTTTTTAGAAACAGCAAGTTCACTTAAGCAACGAGTTGCCAAGAAGCTTGAACTATTCACGCCGTACGTAACGGAAGTAAGTTCTACGCATTTCAGATCTTCAGTGGGGTGATCCCTCCATAAAATGTTTTGGAGAAATGTTTGATTAGGATTGATTTGGATATTCCTATACATTTTTTGAAAGTCAGCTATCAGCACATAATTGCGAACTCTGAATCTGAGCAAAATGTCAAAGAGGTCAGCCTGGACGGGAAAACCCTTGAGAGTTATATTGTTAAGGGAGACTCCTGATGATGATGTCATAGAACTGTCGAAAACCACTCGCAACTTTGTGGTGGTGCTCTCTGGTCTTAACACTGGATGATGTGGGAGAAAAAATTTATTTTCGTTTTTCTCATTTTTTATTGTGAGGGGAATTATTCTGGCATGATTCAATGCTATGTACTCATCAATGAATGATTTGTATTCATGAAATAAACTCTGATTTTTCTCAAACCTTTTTTCTAGGAGAAAAAATCGTCTTTTGGCTTGCGCAAAGCTATCGCCAAGTTTTAGGTGCTCGTTGGGACTCTTGAGAGGAAGATTAACTTGGAATTGACCATTGGGAAGTCTTAGGGTTGTGTCTTTAAATATTTGCTCACAAAGTTGATTCTCCGGAGAAGGAATAGATTTTGTGTCAATTTCATCTAGTGACCAAAATTTTTCCAAAAGATCACTAGTTTGAGAAATACGAGAAAGCATACTGACATTGTTAGAAACTATAGAGATAAACGATAATGTTTGAGAAGGATTTTGGATGAGACCAATTTTTCCCCCGACTATGAAGCCTAAATGAGTATTAAATAGGGTACGTCTGTCTTTGCCCAAATGAATCATACCTGGAACTAATAGATCGTAATAGATATCTGCTCCACAGAGCATGTCAATTTTTGCGCTGCGATAAAAGCGAGGGTCCGCAAGGGTAATGTCATTAGTAATGCCGAGGTGTTCAACGCTGAGAGTAACTTGTGGAAGATTGATGGTTATATTGTCCAAGATTGCACAGGATATTTGAAATAGTTTTTGCGGATTCGATTGAGAGTGAAAGTTTATGTCAATCATTTGTGTGGAGCTGATTAGCTGATCGAACTGTCAGAAACTCCGGAGATTTGTAAGGACTTGAAAAAGGTTTTTAAGCCTAGTTTTTTAACCAATTCCTTAGTGCAGAATGATGTTTGAGATCCACTGTCTAAGAGACATCTTGCCTGGATAGGCTCTTCACAATAGCTATAAATTGTGACAATGGCTGTTGACAAAAGAACATGATCCTGTTGTTTTGAAAATGCTGAAAAGCTAGTGGTATTTTCGAAACTGGTGTTATAATCAGGGTTTCTATTACTATCTGAGACTAACATGGAATTTTGATTCTTGCGATTTTCAACGTCACTACGAGGTTGATCGCGAGATTGTGATCTATTTTGGTTGCTGCAATGAGCCGAGGTACTGTCATCATTACGAGAACTGTCCAATGTGCGCGTATTTTCGTTGTTTGAGCGAGAATTTGAATTATTACTTCCGTTGCGATTATTATTATTGTTATTAAAATTTCTCTCCGAATATCTTCGATGAGAATTTTGAAAATTTGAAGAAACCTGACAACCATGTAACAATGTGTGATGTGATGCCCCACATACAATGCACCGATGTTTTGATTGGCAATTGTTAATATTGTGATTGTTTAAACAATTTTGACAAAGATTGTTATTAAGTACAAATTGAATTTTATTATTATTTGAAGTACCTTTAAATTTTAGACACCTATAAATGTTGTGATTGTTCAATTTGCAATAGGTACATTTTTGAGTAGCGTGCGTCATTGGTTTATTGCCATCAGAAGAGCTTGGCGTACTTGAAAGGTATGATAATTTTTTGACTGGTTTTGGGCTTTGCTTAATTGCAATTGAATTTGACGGAGTTAAGTCCTCCAAAACACGACAATGTTTTTCTAAAAAGGACAAAAAATCTTCTAAAGTTGGCAGTAATTTCATATCGCGTTGTAATCTATATGCCTTTCGTATATTGAAATCTAGCTTTCTAGAAAAAATGTGAACTAATATTAGGTCACTCTGTTCGATGGGTACGCCAAGATTTTTTAAAGCACTAATATTTTGCTTTACAGTAGTTAGAAAGTTGCGTAAGTTATCTTTGTCAACCTTGGTTAAACTTGGTAAATTTTCAAATAAATTTGACAAATGAGCATCTATAATTGTGTATTTGTCTTCGTATCGCTCTCTCAACGTGTCGAGAGCGATGTCGAAATTTGTTTCAACCAGCTGCAACTTGTCAACTAATTTGAGAGCTTCGTCTCTTAGATAACTTTTTAAATAAATTAATTTTTGGAGATTGTCAAGTTGAGAATTATTGATTATCAATTTTTCAAATAAGTCATGAAATGATTGCCATTCTGAAGATACGCCGCTGAAAGGCTTTATTAATATGTCAGGGAGCTTCAAATTAATTTGAGGCAACACTGGAGGTTGCTGAGAAACTTTGGGTTGAGCAGAAACTTGTTGAAGACCTTGTAAGAATTTTACCTGCCTATTAATTAACGATATGGCGTCTAAAATCAAACCTTCTATGTCTTCATCATCAAGGTCTTGCATGGGCGTGTCTTCAGTTTGAAAGGTAACAATTTCCTCTTGAATAATATAGAATTAAATGTTTGCAAAATATCTTTTAAAGCAGTTTTACGAGTGCTAAGCTTTTCAATATCAAGTAAATTGTCATTAAATTTCAACCAATTTATAATTCTTGTAAGACGGCCTTTGCAATGACCTTTTTTGCGTATAAGTGTGTCCATTTTTACTAAAATACTTGCTAATAACTATCAAAAGTTAACTTATTAACAAAAATTTGAAAATATAAAATAATATAATAAGAAAAATTTATATTAAGTTTTAACTAGAAAATAGCGACACTTTATTTTAATTGTTTTTTGAAAGAAACACTTTTGTATAAAACAAATTGGTATAGTACCTAATTGAGTCTTTGCTGCAAGAACGTAGCACTCGTAGGTATTGCACAAGTAAAGTTCAAAGTAAAATTGGAATTTTCTCACCCAATTTTCCAGCTCTTCGAAGATTTCCAAACTGTACGATTAAGATTTCCAATGTGGAGGTTCAAATCCGGATCGAAGCTGACCATTAAATGTTGTGGTTTCCAACATTTATTTATTTTTCAAGTGTAGAATCTGTGGTAGAATGCTGCCAATGCCGTGCTAATTCTTGTTCGTAAATCCAGGTTCAAGGAAACACGATGGTTTGATTATGAAGTGTTTTTATTTTAATTTGAACGAAAAACGACTATTTACAACTATTTACAGAAAACAGGTAACAAATTCTGAAGAACATTGCATATTTAAATAAGTATATGGAACGTTCACTTTAACGCAAATAATTGGTTAATTAACAGCAATTAAACAATAGAAAACTGAAGAGAAAGAAAAGGTTGATTTCAGGCGCACGATCGGGCCATTTGGAGAAAAGAAAAAAGCGGTACAAAACAACCCTTTCAATGCGTTACGATCTCTGACTAGAAGTGAGAACTCAAGGCAAACAAAAACTTCGACTTCGTAGGTACTCTCCACCTCCAGTCTTGACCTACTTTTGCGATGCGTTTGGGCATACGCACGTTCCCTTGAAAATCGGGTAGAAACAGAAGATTATCGTAAGAAAAGAGATATAAAGATATTTAACTTTAAATACAGCGGCGGCGGCAGCGGGTTGAAATGAAATTTCAACAACCTCTATTCTATTTCATATAGCAAAAACCAATTTTGTGCAAAATCAAACCGAAACTCACGACTAAAGGTAACTTTATATTCGAACTACATGTTTATTTAAATACATATTACAATCTTTTTAAAGCTAACCAATGTCCTCTTTCTGCCTTAGGCAATGGAGAACGTGCAGCTAACTTCAACGGTATTTGTGTTCTCTTGGTAGGCACGATTTCAAAATTCAGCAGCAAATTGTAAATAGCAGCTTTTGCTTCTAAAAATGCAAATCTCGAACCTATACAGTTTCTTGGCCCAGATCCAAACGGTATGTAAGTGTATGGCTGAATTTTGTCTTTATTTTCACTGGAAAATCTTTCTGGATCAAACTTTTCTGGATTTGGATAATACCTCGGGTCTCTCTGAAGGGGGTACATGGGAAGCCATAAAACATCACCAACTTTCAGGTGAACAGGTTTTTCGTTTGGTCTAGCGGGTTCAATTGTATACGGCTTCGTACATACTCTGTCAACAGTAATAACTGGAGGCCATTTTCGTAAAACTTCTAGAAGAAAATAATTTTTTGCATAATATAAACCTTATATATAATTTTTATTACCTATTTATTAAGTACTTACCTGAAAACACCATATCCATATAAGTCATTTTTAACAAACTGTAATAGGACAATTTGCAATTGTTGGTTTTATGGGTCTCAATAATTTCTACTCTTAGCTTTTCCTGAATTTCCTTATTGACAGCTAACTCATAAGTTGCAAAACCTAAGGTAGTTGAAATTGTTTCGAATCCAGCAATGAAGAAAATAATTGCTTGTGAAGTGATATCGTCATTCGATAATAGTCTTTGATTATCTTCATCTAAAAATAAATATTAATGATAATGCTTATATATTATAAACACTTGCGTCTTTAGTCTTTATTCCCTTTCAAGCAAATTAAATTCGTAATCATCTAATCTGAAAGTATCATTAAATGCAAGCTGATGGAGAAGATGCAGTTTCAAATCAATGAATGAATGAATGAAATTAATATATAATTAACTATAAAGGGAGGAATTGGGAGTCGAGAAGCTTTCTGTTGGTTCTCTGGGTACTGATCCAAACTGAAGCGTGTTGACTGTAGCAGAGTACTCTGTAGCTTCTTAGGGAAGTAAAATAGGGGCAGTTTCGTTGTAGTGACCGAACCGTCCGATACGACACGAATGTGTACGGGTCGCGTAGCGAGAGTGTGTTGTCTACTCTGCAGCCGAGAATATATTTTTTTTCCTACGACCACATACGAAAATGATGAAATTCGCACTAGCTGGTACTTTGGAAAGCGCTAAATATCACACGCGTGCTGAAAGTAGGTACTTTCAATACGCGTGCTAAAAGTACTTTCAGCACACGTGTGGAAAATACTGTTGACATTATTTGTGATTGACATAACAATTTACTTTCAATACGTGGATTGAAAGTACTTTCAGCACGTGTGTTGAAAATGAAAAGAAATAAAATAAGAGAAAATTGATGTAAATTGGTTTCTGGTCGTAGTAAAAATGGTGTACATCACTCGTAAGAAAGTGTCTTTCATACACTCGTGTGAAATTTGTCGCTTTCTACACTCGTAATGTAATATACTATTAAAAAATCTCGGACAAGGCAGCATAAAAATGCAGCTGCTTCCAGCAAGTGACGTGTGCGCATATGATAAACGAAAAAAGTCGCTAATGAAAAATATAGGCACAATCGAACTTTGTAGGTTGCTCTACACAAACTAAAATAGGCATAAAGCCCTTTTGAGAGTTTCCTAAACATTCACCCCACCAAAACGCATGTTTTTTAAACAGGATGAAAAAAGGTTTACTAGTGGTAGATATAATAATAGTTATTTATGCACCAAGTGAGTTAAATGAATGTTTATTCATGAGAAGAAAGTTTAACCCACGAGCCCTAGCGAGTATAATAAGAATCAAATTATAAAGAGAATTCATTTAGTAGCACATGAAAGCGTCTAAAATTGAAATTGGTGGTTGCTAGGGTATAACTATATAGTTGTTTGTTTCTATTTGTAGCAGATTCTATACTGGTAGAGTGACTTAAAAGACTGAGAGTGACTATATAAATCTCTCGACAGTAATAATATAATATAATAATAATAATAATAATATATTTAAGCAATATTATGGAGTGAAATTTACAGTTTTATAATATATCACAATAATTCCTTATATAGCTAATCATTTCTTTTTTTAATTGTGCACCTAGCCAAATTATTAGCTGTATGTGCCCATAGAATCATACGGTAATTCTCAAAGAAAAACACACTGGATGTAAAAATGTAAAATGAAAATATAGTACCTATGAAAAATAGTTTTGATACCATACTTAATCTAACTTAAACTATACTAAAAACTAAAACAGTTCAACAACCAAATAAACCAACTTGTAGTAATAACATACATATTTCCATCTTTTTTCTTATATATTCCATATATATTTCTTTTTAATTTTTTCTAACACCAACAATCACCTGAACCATCCAAATCGAGGAGCATTCTCATAAATGAAGCTTCTGCAACATTTGCTAAATCGCCTAATGTTCGATATCTGCTTTATCTCACCTGGGATCAGATTATAAAACTTTGGCGCCAGATAACCAATATATTTTTATTTACATTTGGCAAAACTAAATGCCCATTCATTCTATTTCTGGTTTCATAGGAATGCTAGCTATGTGGCGCTTTTTCCAGCTTGGCCGATGTTCTGGCCGACAAGCCATCGCCCTTTTCCCATTGGATCTGTTCTCAACGTTCCCTGGTTGCCCTTTCACGTTATTATGTGACCTTTCAGTCGTTGGTAAGTACCACGGATGGCGCGCATTGGGCCACTATAATGGCCCGCTCAAAAAATAAGGGGTTGATGCAGGATGTGTGATGTCGAGCGCGCAGCGCCCTCTTTGTGGGGAAAAGTTCCAAAAAACCCCACTTCCAATTAATTTAATAATATAAAGAAAAACAAAAAAGCCGTACCCCGTAGGGCGATGTGGTCCGTCATGGACGCTACCTCAACAGCAAAGTGTGAGCTAGGGATTTGTGCGCGTGAGCGCGGGTTTGGATTAAATGGGGTCGAAAGCCCTGCACCCCGACCAATCCTGAGACCTGATGAGTCCCAGGTAATGGTTTGGGTGCAGGTGAAGGAAGATTGTAAGGGATGTCAGAGAATGAGGGTTGGGAGGATTGGGTGCAAGAATCTACCGGGATTGGGACATGCATTTGCAGCTAAATTGGGCAGTTTTCGCCTAAGTGTAGTGGTCAGATTGGGGTTGTCCGATGATTGATTAGACAATTGCATTTCCTCATAGCCAGCGATAAAGGAGATGTTAACACACTAGATCGCTGACCAGTTGGAATTTTCCGAAGAACAGATGATAGAAATAGACCTTTGATTGGGATTGCCAGAGCCTCCTGCTTTAGGCTAAGGCATATGGCGCCAGCGCCAAATTACTTGTCTAATTCTGTCTTGAAGATTGGATTTTAGCTGTGCATTGGTTTGGGTTATTACTTGGGGTTGTGGTTAGCAGGTACAGGATAGGGAAGTGTTCATGGGCGTTCAAAATAGATAGGTAGATTCTTGTAGGGCGGACCGTGCACTATGGGGTTGTCTGGATCATATCTTTGTGCAGTGATTCTGCGGGTTAGAGGGGAGCCTTGAATTTGATTTCTGTAAAACTTTTCGCTGATTTCATCCAGGTAGTCAGATATAAGCGGAATGGACGTTTGTTCGTGCATGTCCGTTATTCTGGCGTACCTGGATTCAGACAGCACTCCCCTCAAAATACGATTCTGGAATCGTTGGAGGCGGTTCCTCTGTGTGCGTGAGATTATGTTCCAGACAGGGGCCCCATAGGTGAGCATGGGTCTTATGACCTGTTTGTAAATTAAGAGCTTATTATTTGGTGATAAGGGGGAGTTAGGACCGATGAGTGGGTACAATTTCTGCTGCGCACTGAAGGTGCGAGCCAAAGCGTGGGATACATGGTGGTGGAATTTCATTCTCTGATCAAAGATGATACCTAGGTATTTGGCTTTTGGGGACAGAGTGACTGGAATGTTATTGACGATAAGTGGGGTGGGCATGGTGCTATTGGTGTGCTTTTTGTGAAAGCATATAAGCTCAGTCTTTTGTCCATTAACACCAAGCTTCCACTTATCGTAATAAGGTTGAAGGATTGCAAGGTGATGGGCTAGCTGAAATTTTGTTGCTTGTGTGTAAAAGGATTGAGCGTAAACAGCGGTGTCATCTGCGTACAGCGCCAGATTTGTATTCTGGAATTTTGGAATGTCCGCTGTGTAGAGTGAGTACAGCAGTGGACTGAGTGCCGACCCCTGCGGCACTCCGGCCTGAATTGGTTTGGAGTGTGAGCGGGCGTCTTCTTGTTTGACGCAGAAAGAGCGGCCGCTGATGAATGACTGTATCAGGGAGATGATGTGTAGTGGGAAATTGAGTTGCGAGTAATTTATAGATAAGGCCTGAATGCCAGACCCTATCGAAGGCGCGCTCCATATCCAGGAGCAGAAGTGTCGTGTTCATGCGCCTGTTGAACGCTTGGAAAGTGTCGCAGTAGATTTTGGCTGCAAGAAGAGTGGTGTTGTGACGTGGGCGAAAACCGAACTGCTCGTTTGGGAGGATGGAGAAGTTTTCGACAATCCTGTTGACCCTGGACATGATTAACTTCTCCACGAGCTTGGCAAAGGAATTTAGAAGGGAGATTGGGCGGTAAGAGGATGGGAGTGAATGGTTTTTTCCAGGTTTGGGGATCATAACCACCTCAGCCATTTTCCATTGAAGGGGAAAATGCTGAAGTTTGAGGATTGCGTTTGTTATTTGTACCAGCTGTACAATAACTTTACGCGGGAGATTTTTGAGGACTCGATATGGGATGCCATCTGGTCCGGGGGCCTTCTCGCTTGGGAGCCGGCGGATAAGTCGTGTTATCTCGCCGGGCGTGGCAATAAGTTCAGCGAGCAAGTGCTGGGGGATGGGGTATTTCCGAGTAGCAAAGGCTGTCGCTGTACGTTCGATTTCCTCCTGTTCAGGGGAGTTTGGTGGGAGACCGGAATGAATACTCTCCATGAACGAAGCCAGAGCTTCCGCCTTGTCTTGGGCAGTGACGCAATCCCTACCATTACTGGTAATGGCAGGGGTACGCACAGCTTGCCGCTTCATTTTGGACTGAAGGCGCCACAGAGAGTTGTCTTGAGGACGTAGGTTCTGGAGGGTTTGTGTCCACTTACGGTTCCGAAGCTCGCTGATGCCATTCTTAATGGCACCCTCGAGCTCCCGAACTCGTTGGCGATCCTCGTCCCTTCGGAGGCGTTGCCACCTCCTTCGGGTGCGATTCTTCAGTGAAATAAGATCTATGAGCTCTCGAGAGAGCTCGTCACGGCCTTGGTGGACAGTTACCCGGTTAGCAAGGGGAGTTAGGGTCTGCTGGATGTTCCTGGTCAAGGTTGTCACCTCTTGCTCAAGAGCGTCTACGGTGTCAATTTGACCAGGAACTTGGGTACGGGTATTGAGATTCTGCCGAAACAGGGGCCAATTGAAGTTTTTATAACTTAGACGAACTTGTGGGCGGGGAGGATCAAGTTCGCCCCAGGTGAAGAAGACGGGTAGATGGTCCGAGCTCAGGGCATTGATCGTAACGAGATCGGAAAGTTCCTTTGCTGAGGGCAAGGTCGATGTATGTCAGTGTCATGTTATTGCTAGGATAATGGGTGGGCGATTCAGTACTGAGGAGTACCAACTCCGGTCGGTCATTGACGAAATCATTTAGGATCATACCGTTGGTATTTCCTCTATGATTCCGCCAAAGTCTGT